GGGTGGGTGGGTGGGTGGGTGGGTATCTTGTTTATGTATGGTTAGGTACATACATATTGTGCAGAGGTTGACATGTGAAACTGATTGTTGCATGATGCATGTATGTCCGGCATGCACATACGTGTGCATGTACATATGCATGCATTGACCCCACGAGCCTAAAGTTCATTTCCATTGCCTGTACCCTGACTCGTCTCTGCATGAAGCGATAGCTTTGAAGGGTTTTAGAGTTGGGCATGACAAACCTTAACACCTCAAGACGAAGATTAATGAATCATCTGTTTCATTTCCAACTCGATGCACATGTAAACATGAATACAGTATTTATTTATGGTATAAACATGCAGTTCTGTATATATATGTGTCTGTATAAAAGAGTATACAGGGAGTTATTTTTTCGTGTTCGCATTGCAACTTCGAAGTCTCAGGCGCCAGCAGCAGGAGGAGGCCCAGCGTGCCCGCCGCGCGGCGATCATGGCGGCAGAGGCCGTCTCCGGGCGTCTTGCGGGCTTAGGGTTTCACGTTTGGAGGCCAGGGCAATCTAGGCTTCAATAAGAGCATGAGTGGTTTTTGATGGGTTATGGAGGCTTTCAGGGTGAGATGGGTGTTTGGTAGTCGCACAGGCCTTGATCAGGCTTCACCCCTGGCCTGAACTCACTCTTCTGGACGCTGCTCGCGCGAATCGAGGTGGTTATATGCCTTGCCACACTATTTATGGGCAAGCGATTGGTGGACATGTCCGTCCTTATGTGCACGTAGCCATATCCATGCTTTTGTTTGCAGGGCCCTGTCGTGTAACAAAGAGACCCTAACGCCCGGCAGCCCCAACCAAGTAAGATCGAAGCATAGCCCACTGGAAAGGCGGGTCCCTGCTCAGGGAAGAGGACCTCGAACCCACACTCGAAAGCTCCCTTAAGTAGGCAGCCTCTAGGTTTTGCAACCCGGAAGATCCAAAGCCCTCCGCAGCCCCAAGTCTTTAAACCACGGAAAAGGCTGAGTGAAGGCTTGGGCAAGTAGAGACGACGAGGCCGGTTCATACCTAGACACTCGTTCTCGCAGCGGAAGTTCTTACTGTACTGCAATCCTAAGGCCTGTGCAGACTGAGCTGGACAGAAGAATGACCTCGTAAACGAACCTGGCCGCTGTGGTAAACTTTTGCTACATCTGCCTGGCAAGTCAGGAAGTCACGAAGAGAAATACTTGATTACACTGTTGAGTACGGTCGACTCTCCATTTAAATCGAAGTAGACATTCCTTGGCACTGGCCTAGCCTGTGAACATGACCTTCCCAGTCGAAACCACACATTCCCGAGCATTAGATGAGTTCACAAGCAGTATAGATTTGTTCTCACCACTCTTTTGCCCGTGTCCGGGTGCCTCAGGCTGGCTATGAGGGCCTGCGCCTCAAGATGCGGACGAATCCATATATAAAGCCTGAAAGCATCAGCGTGACGATTTAATAGAGTTGAGGGAGCTGACATGCATGAAAAATAGGGGTCCTGGCATAGATCCTAGTCCCAATCAGTCGGACGCTTGTCATACAGCCCGCAAACCTACAACCTTAGGCCTTGGGATCTTAAACTTTTTGGGTTTAGGGTTTAGGGTTAGGCAAGTTGTCACATACTTTTCCGGTGAGCTGCTCTTTGTGACTCCTAGCCAGGCATTGCCGAGAGCGCCAGTCGAAGCCCAAAACCCTCAGCCAAAAACACCCCCCAAGAGTCTGAGAAGCAAGCCTAGCCACCGCCATCAATATCGCTGTGCTATACACGGCATTTGTGCTATTTCCAGCCTTCGGCTATAATACTTTATCGAGGCGATGCGCCGGGCGTGGCGTTGCCGCCCGAATTTGGTGGCAGCGCAGGCTGGGGCGGGAGGTTTACGGTTTTTTTTTAAATAGCCCTCTAGTCTCCATTGTGGTTCCTTTGTGTTTTCAGATCCTAAGTATAAAAGTAGTTAAACCGACCAAACGAACTCCAATGGAGAGGATGGGAAGTTCTAAACTATCTTTGGGGCTTTGACAGTCTGCAACTACTAAACCCTAAACCCTAAACCCTAAACCCTAAACCACTACTAAACGCCTCCAAGCCTTTGTCTTCATCCGAACAGGTGAGGCGGCTCTTGGTCTTACTTATAGGGCAAAAAGTTTGTAGGATCCAGGATTAGGGTTTAGGGTTTAGGGTTACTTATAGGGTAAAAGTTTGTAGGATTCAGGATTAGGGTTATTGTTTGGCCTTGGTTTTAAGTCTCAAAGTTTTGACGGAACATGGAATTTGAGGGTGCGCTTGTCCATGTACACTTCGAAGGGCCCAATCGTCAGGCAATTGTCACCCCAAAGGCCCTGCAACCTCAAAAAGTAACAATGCATGTTCATACCGGGCTCCCTGACCCGTTTCGTTGGATGGTGGTGTTTCGATGCGCAGTCTTTGCCTGTAGGTTGGGTGCTACGGAGACGGAAAGCTACCGGCTCATAGACTTATAGCCACCGACAAGAACGGGAAACAAGATCGTAGGTAGCCATGCTACAGCACTTCCGATACACAAGTGCAGCTTCAAACGGCCTGCGAAATTAGCTGCAGGGTCCAGTGGTCAGCCGAGAGTAGTGGCATTGTGCTTCGCTTGGCTTGTTCAGAGAAGGGGCGCGGCAGTTTCAGGCAGCATCTTCACAAGCCTCCTGCAAACTAAAGGGTATTGTCACTCTCACTGCGAGGTGCTTCGCAGTTCCAAGACTTTCACTCCATGGGCCAGACAAACATGCAGGGTTCCGGCAGCCTCTCTGACCAGAGGGTTTTGGAGGCTCAGGGATCCAAAGACGATCTCGGTTGTTCTGCCGGTAAGGCCGAGGGGATGTTTATGACTCTACGTATCTACGTAGACATTTTGGTGCAGAAGTGAGACGGCTTGTCGGGTTTGCGTTGACTGCGAGCGTTCCTTGCATGCGACGATGCTACTGGTAGCAGCAGTCCCCGAAGTCGTGGGTTTCTGAGATTTGATGTTCCCTTATTGGGGGAGCCTCATTCTGAAGGTTCGAAACTGGCACTACCATCTAGAACCTTTATGTGCTTCTCAGGAATAGAGGGGCCAGGCTCACTGAGAGCTCGCAGTTGCAGGGGGGGAGGGCGTATGATCTTGTTGGTCAATGCCTAACTACGGCCTGGCTGGGGGTGGGCAGGGAAGGCAGGTTCCATGCCGAAGACACCCCCGTCGCAACTCTGTATGCTGGCTTCGAGATCTCTAAAAATTCAACCCTAGTTACACCCTACAGCCAGACCCTTCGCCCCAAAGTCGAAACCCACTTGGGAAAAAAAGTCGAAACCCGAATTTCTTGAAGACTTGGTGTAGCTTGGTGTCGTAGGCTCCTCCGTCCAGACTTCATGTAATAGTGGAGGTTCCACGATGTGAGGGTGGATCACGAGAGTGGCTGTAATGTAGACTCCTGCCGAGTCACCCCGTTGGTTAAGAATACGCCGAGGACTGGGATCCGGGACCCTAAACCCTAAACCCTAAACAGTTTTAGGGTTTAGGGTTTAGGGTTTAGGGGTTTAGGGTTTATAGGGTTTAGGGTTTAGGTATAACTTGACGAAACCCGTGCTCTCAGCACCGACTGGTGCTTGACTGCTTTGGTCTGCTGTGGCAGCCGAGGTACATCGGTCGCAGACGCGAGGTCGCCGGGCAGGGTTTTGCGGTTCCTGGGTACCCAGAGAGCCCCAAGACCCCTTAATTAAGGAATATAGCTTGAATCATAATAATTAAGGCCCCTATAATTTAAGGTATCTTCCTTAATTAAGGGGTATTGGGCTCTCTGGGTCGATCTGGATTTCAAATCTTGTTTATAGGCTACGCTAGTGGGGTGCCCTGGGCCGACATAAGTGAAGTCGCCGTAAGACCCTGCGACCTCAGAGCGTACAACCCCCTGTCCCATGGTATTTACCTATAGTCTCCATTGTAGTTCCTTTTTTTGGTTTAAAAAATTGTATATGAAGGATTTTACAAGGTATCCCCAAAAAGGAACTACAATGGAGACTACAGGTATAAGGAGAGACCGCAATTCCCGAACTCTGAGTGAGCATGCTCAGGCACCCACATTTACAACACACTGCAGTCATTCCGGGAAGAGGATCGTTTACAGGTGCCCGGTGCATCTCTCGTTTGGTGTAAGCTCTTGCATTTCGGTGGGTTCGGTAGATCTTGAGCCTCGAACTTGTGACCCCGCCAACAACGCGGTCACCTGCAGGAGGGTCGGCGCATACGCCAACCAGCCCTCCTTCGACATTCCCGGCGGCTGTGATGCGTTTATTTGGATGTCCTTTACAACCGCTGACTAATTACCTCTTGTATGCCGGGGCGAAGGTGGCCGTAGTTTGAGCCTCGAAAAAATATCCCGGCCCAGGACTAGAGGTGTTTTAATTTAAGATAGACGGTCTGAAGGGTTGAACAGAGTTAGACGTGCATCAGTGCAGGACTCAACTCGCTTGTTTGCCTGAACTTCAGGTGCAGCGAGCTCTTCGAGTGGCATGGGGCAAGGCGGCATACTAGTTTGGAAGCCCCGCCCATACAACTACTACGATTGTTAAGCAACCATGTTGATGATGGTTGATTATGCGGGGGGGGTGATGGTGAGAGGACAGTGATGACGGTGCTGGGATGACGAACGATGCCGATTGGGATTTCGGAGTCGATCACAGGTATCACGATATGTAGGTCGGAAGGGTACGGAAGTGTGGTCAAGAAGCCCCTGGCCACTCAACGGCTCTTTCTGGAGGGTCTTGTTGCCATCTTGGGTGTTATCCTGGGTCACACACGTGGGTTCAAGAAGGGCCTGCTTCATGGGGCAGCCTTTCTACAAACACTCCTTCAAGACTGTGATCTTGGCGTAGAGTCGTGGGAATGCACGGATCAGCTCTTGTCTTGGGCCGCCTATCGCCCTATCCCAAGCCGAAGCCTGGGTTCAGAGTGTAAACCCCAAGCTGGAATCTCTTATGTTTAGGTGTTCGGGTTCCGGGTTCCAGATGATGTGTCGAAGGATTTTTTGGTGCTGGCGGCTGTGGTGGAGCTAGCGATACGGCGAGTACCAGCACTGGCAGTGCCCCTCGGATGTATATGCCGCACACTCGCACTTCGTCAACACGTCGGCAGCAGGCCCTGCGCTTTCCTTGTTTTTTCGGAACATGAGAACTGACTCGCATCCGATCTTCGCTTGGTGTGTACATCCGCAGCCTCGGTTGTGGGGTCAAGGCCACGCCAATGAATCCGATGATGATGATGGCGCCGCTTGGCTTGAGCTGACCATGACACCGAGGTCAACGCTTATCAAGTTTACACCGGCGGTTCGACATGTAATTCATTTGAGATATGTTGTGCAGACGCCAATGCTGACGTGCTGGTCAATAGTTTGGTGTGGCTGCATTTGTGCATGCCAGCAGACAGTCTTGGCCATTGGCTCCGCGTGTGTGTCTTGCAATTCCTCACTTGTACTTCCGGGC